CGGGGCGCTATCGCTGAGCGGCGCCCCGCAGGTGAAGAACGCGTGTCCCTTCTGGGCCGGCTCCTCGGTACGTGCCCGGCACCGGGCGGCGGGACGGGACTCGCGTGCGGTGCGCGCTCGCTCCGAGGCGCGTGTTCGGGCACCGGGCTCGCTGCTGGCGGCTCTGTAAGGAGCGCCGGGACTTCCCTCTCCTGTTGCGTTCCGCTGTAGGCTGCGCCTTCACGCATAGTGCGCGGCCAGCAGCCGCTGTCCGAGCGGCGGGGCAGGGCCCGGGCCTCGGGTGAGTTCTCCGCGGAGCGCAGCGCAGCCCGGAGCGGCGTGCGGCTAGGCGCCGGGCGGCACGTCCGGAGCGCGGGCAGCCTTAACCGGGCTGGAGCCCGAGCCGCCCAGATGGCGGCGTGGTGTCTGCGCTCGCGTTTTTCTTTTACCTTTCTGCTTTCCTTCGCTTTTATTTCTCGCTCCAAATCAGAGTTTATTTAGATCTCTGGCAGCTGCGAGCTTTTAACTCTGTGAACAGTACTGTGCTTATGATTTAAAAATGTTCTGAAGCTGCACATGTAAGCTGGAAATTCCCAATTACTTTAATAATGAAAAAAAAAGATCTTTTTTTTTCATGCTGGCTCTGGAACGGTAACATATACAGCCTTAAAAAAAATTACCAGAAGTGTCTTTTGAGCATAGCAGCGTGAGTGAAACGTCTCATCCCAGAGGCAGTGTGGGATGCTAGAGGCTGCTGAGGGCTGGCGTTGGGTATGTATATGTATATGGCCTTTTTCTCGTTTTAGGTGCAGCGTCCTTCTTGTGATGCATGGAGGAAAGACACTCTGAGGAAGGCATTCCTTCCATACATCTTAAATCTTAATCATTATGAAACCAGTGTTGGTGTCCCTAAGGGAAAACACCAATTCTTATAAGTATTGGTGTGCTTTGTTACAAAAACTCGTGTCTATTTTGCACTCAGAGAATTAAAAAATGTTTGTTATGAAACTGCAGCGTTATGTACGTGCTTTTGCAACAGCAGTGGTGATACCGGGAGGTGTTTTGGCCGAGTCATGTATGCCTGTTACGCTAGGTCAGATCAGTCATGTCAGGTTAATGAAGCGGCTGGAGGGATTTGTTAAAAACATTAGTGGGCAGCTTCCCCTTTGTGTTCCTGCTTGGCTTTGGGGTGGGAGCGCAGTCTGAGTTGGCTTAGTCACAAAGGCTCCCAAACTAAGGGTAATTCGTGCTTGCACCCAGGACAAGCTGAAAAATGTGTTTGCCTTTTCTTTTGGTTCCCATTCGTCCAGTGGGGAGTCTCTGGTGCGTGGTTTGCTTCAATTCTACAGCAGAGCTTTCTCCTTCCTTAACTGTCTTGCTACCATATGAAGACACTGGGGACAGCCCATGGTTCAACAGGTCTGATTAACAGCACCTGCTGCGGAGGGGATCTTCTGCTTTCTCTTTCCTTGTGTGCATGCTGGCTCTCTGGCTGGGTAGCAGGAAAACATGTCCTTGGTTGAAATTAATTTTTTTTGGCATTTGATGAGATGGGAATTGCTGGTGTGACTTTCTGGACGTTTTCTGGGAGGAAGCAAAACAGTAGATAAAAATTTCAGTTCCAGTTGTGTTTTCCCGTGGGGTGCTCTTTCGAGTGAAGAACCTTGTCAACACAGGCTCTGAGTATCTGCTATAGAGTGTGCCCCGCATCATCTCAGCACTGCTCTCGCACTCCAAAATACTTTCCATCAGAGCAGTGGCAAATATTGTGTAAATACGGCGTTTTCTGAACACTGTTTTCTGAACATTACCTTCTTGGTAATGCTGTTTTCTTAATGTTACAGGTAATCTTATCTGGAATCATAGGGCTAACAACATGGAAGAGACCAATGATATTATTGGTGAGTATGGATTAAAACTTGTTGCGTGAGTGTTTTCAGAAGATGTAGACGAATTATCAGATTGTTAGTAGTCATTGATTAAAAAACTCTACTTCTTTCTCCATGAAAAAAAACAGACCGTACTGTTGAATCTCTTTTGTAGACTGCAGAGCTATATTTACTGAAGTGGTGAGATGCCATGAAAGGCTGAGTTTATGTGCATCCTGGAATCCTTTTAGGAGACTGTTAAGGGCAGGAGAGGATCGTGCCTGCAAGATGTGCTGGTGTTGTTCACAGAACACCTTCTGTGTAGGTACAAGAAAATGCTGGTTTAATAGGGATAATCTCTCTGAGGCAGTGCTGCTAAATCTTAGAGATAGTTGGTTTGAAAGCTGTGGTCGTTTGTCCTGTGCAAGTGTCTGGTGGCAGGCTGAGCTAAACTAAGCACTGCTGTCCTACAGTATTCAGTGTTAGTGTTTCAAATACAGTTGACATTACGTTGTTCTGAGAGGAAAAAATCAATGTGCAGGGTGTGTAAACTGTTCCTGCTTGTAAGTGAAATCTGAAGCTGGGTAGCTCTGAAAGTCTCAGAAATGGAATTTGCATAAAAGCATTTGAAGGTTGGTTTTCTTGGTTTTGCAGGTTTTGTTTTCACTATACTATCGCTTCTGATGCCCTTTTTCCAGGATAAAGCAGTTGTTTTGTCTCTGTACAGTGTGTCCTTGGGATGTGTGTGGTATCCATGTGGCCATCAGTGAGATGTACCAAGCGTCAGAGAACAGACTCTGACTGCATTTCTCGGTGGTGTGTTGCTTGGTACTCCAGGAGCAAAGGAAGTTTTTGTACTGCTGCTCTGGATACAAAGAAAAACCTGATCTCAGCCTACCAGTCTGGATGGGCTATGTTTTCTTGAAAATAAATATAGTTGCATCTTTCTCAGAATGCCCAAGTCTTGCAGATGGTGCCTGATTTGGTATTACATGAGTTCTGTACTCTTCCTACAGCACTTACTGTTGTTGTTTCCTTTTGTTTGAGGTTCACTCTTCAATTCTTTCATGCTTCCCTTGCATAAACTTTGTGGGCCCTTTTGGTTTTACTGAAATAGAGGAGCAGCAAACTTCCACATCCTTGAATTTGTGTGGAATGATCTTTTGGGTGGATGGTGAACAGATGGGAACAGAATGCCCTAGGATGTTGTGCTGCAAGGACATGGGGAGGTTCCTGAGATTAAACTCCTGCTCTGATCTCAAAGTTGACCCTGCGCTGAACAGGAGGCTGCATCAAGGACTTCCTGAGGTCCCTTTCACATTTTTTCTAAGACCGCAAGATACTGAACGATTTTTTTTTCTTTTTTTATATTTGCAATTATAGACAATTTTTGAAAGCAATATAATTAAATGCAAAAAAAAAAAGAAAAAAAGAAAGAAAAGAAACCAGCATTAACTGGTACATGGGGGTTTCAGTTTAAAAAAATAACAGGAACCTAACTTTCACAGGAAGTCATACATTGAACTGGCTATGGTCTATTGAGGAAAGATTGTTAGTTTCTATAAGCAAATTTATTTTGGGATACATTTCTATTACATTCACGGTCTAGTATCTTGAATATTTTCTCCTGGAATGAATATTTTCATTCAGCTGCCATGTAAGTTGCAAAAGCAGGTTTCGTAAAGAGCTAAGTAATGTGCCTTGTTAGACCGTACAGCTTTGAGTTATGGCGTTCATAAATGAAAGTGGAGAACACACTCAGGGCTAAAACAGATCCCATTTCCAGCTGTGACTGCCTCCACTTTTTGCTTCTCATGAAAGGCTCTCATACCTGATTCTTGCAAATGTGCTTTAGAACCACGGGGCTTCCTCTCTGCCGCCTTTTGGAGCAGGTCCCTGTTGCCTTTGCCTGTTCAGAAATAGCACAGAGCCAGCTCTCAGCCATCATCACACGGCTGTCCTGGCACGCCTCGCACTAGCTCAAGCAGGTGCCCAGTGTAGAAATGCCTTTATGTAGCAAATAAGCTTTGCAGAAAGGATTGATTTCCACATGAAGGTGGTTGTATGAGATTGTAGCAGAACTCAGATATTTGGTGTGTTGGGTATGTGTGCTAGACCCATGCTTGAAATCTGAGAAGTAGGGAGTATTCCAGGCACAAGGTATGAATTAGCACCTTTTGCATTGCAGCAGTTTGTTAGTGTTTAGTTGTGTTCGTGTGGAGAACTTGGTCTGTGCTCAACAGTCACAGCATAACGTAACTGTAGGATTAACGGTGATGAGCGTTATTTGTGGCTGTACCTCAATCTACACAGGCCCTTGCATCAATAAGGACAGGCTTATTCTTTCTTTTTTATTGTCGTTAGGTTCCATGATTTCTTCAGACTCTCTGCTCCAAGTACCCTCTGGAATCCCTCAAACACATTTAATTTCGCAAACAGCTTTGTTACTTGCCCAGGTGGGATAATTCTGCATAGACTTTGGCTTTGCCTTGTTGTGCACCGGGAGCTCTCAGAGGAGGCTGTAGTTAGGGGCAGAGGTGAGCCTTGCGGCCTTCTCCCTCTGGCAGCTGGCAGTGGAACCACGTTCCAGCTGGGTGCTACAGAAGGTGCCCACCAGGAGATGTTGGTCCTGGAATGAGCTTGTGGGAGGGACACGCTGATGCTGTTTCTTGGGGCTCCTTGTGTTTACTTATTTTTGATTTTTATTATCACTTTCCAGTCTCTAGGGGACTGTCCAATGAAATTCACTGAGTGAATTCACAAAGTGCTCTCTTCTCACTGAGTGAGAAGAGAGAGCTGGGGGTGAGGGAGAGGTGACGTGGAGAGGAGAGGAGGGCAGCTGCCTCTTTCAATCGGAGGCCACAGTGGCAGGGAGCCTGGGTAGAAGGGCTGATTTATTCCCAGCTGTGAGGCAGAGGTGCTGGTGGTGCTTGTAGGAGTCAGAGGTGATGGGAGAGGACAGAGGGGGTGGTGGGATTTCCTCTGGAGGAATAGGGATAGATCATCAGATAGAGATGATGATAGGCCTCCAGCACCACAGTCAGGAGAAAATTAGTCCAAAGAGGAGTGGCTGCAGGAAAGGATGGGAAGCAAATATCAGGTTGCAGAGATGGAGTGCTGTGAGGCAAAACAGAATTGTCATCAGCTCTCTTGATGGACCTTCTTGCAGGGCCAGCGTGGTCTTCAGCAACGTAGCATCAGAGAAACTCTGGCTCTGAAATCTTACCTTGCTTGTCATTGTCTGAGACTTATCTGTCCTGGGTATCAGTTGTCAAGTGACTGCAGAAGTTAGCCTATGCCGCCTGTGCTCTGATCTTTACTTCAGAGGAGAAGCTTCCTCCTGTGCACGCCTGCCCAAATGTGCTCATGGGAGAAAGGGAATTTTTTTTTTCCTGAGGTTGCTTGGATATTGGCTATCAACAGTTCTGGGCTGGATGCTATTCTGCGCCTGAACAGAAGCTGATTTCTTCCTGTCCACTCCAAAACTCCTTACTTCCACAGGACTTTTCATTTTATTTTCAACTGAAGAAATGTAGCTTCTTTCAGAAGGCGTGTAAACTTGCTGTTGCTTGTTTGTTTGCATACACATCAAGAGTTTATACCAAAATAGTTATTGTTTAGGTTCACTTGAATTCCTCATTCCTTAAAATCTTGGCTCTGCTAGCAACAGCGTAATGCTATGCTGGTAGGTGTGTTGCAGGTCTCCATGTGGTACAACAAATAGGAAATTAGTAAGGTCACATAATTTACGTATGATTATTGCTATTGGTGCTGTGTGTGTATGGAAAGTTAATACATTGACTTAGATTTTGCTAAAAGGATGCTTAAAAGGCTTATGTGTAGGACATGCACAGATAAGAGTTACTGACTGTGCAGCAAGTGTTTTCCTTTCACTTACTTTTTAAGTGCCTGCTTGTGCCTCAGTTGTGTGTACATATCAAAAGTCAAAGTAATTTCTCCTTGGCATTTAGACATTGGCTTTGACAGTGGCAGCAGCAGGGTAGCAAGAAATCTGCCAGTGCAGAATAAATTATAGGGTCATGGCCTTATCATGTATGTTTGTCCTGCTGCTGCTGCAGCTGCTTTTGAAACTAAAGAGAAAAGTGCCACTAACTTAAACAGAATTGGCTGGCTGACATCATTTGGACGGGTTCTCAAAGGGCAGAATGTTTGTTTTTTTTGTTTTTGTTTTTAATGTGGAAAAGGTCATCCATGCAAGAGATTAGTAGATACTGTCTCTGACATTAGAATACACTTCGATTTCCTGGAGTTTAATTCATATAGATGTTCACCAAAACCTTCTGCAGCTGTTCTGTTCACAATCCATGTATCTGACATTCAGAAGATGAGGGGCAGTGGGCAAAACTGAAGCCGTAATTTGAGTTGTTTTTATTTTTGTCAACACAGTTTGGTTCAGACTAGTTACCTCTATTTGGACTTTTAAAATAGTGCAATTGTCTTTGCCTGTTCTAAATGTAGGAGCATGTTTATCCTGGTTCACATATGGGTGGGTCCTTCTACTGAAATAAAGGGGACCACCTGCTTTTACTTGTTGGTGTGTAGTGAAGGAGAAGGTTTTTAAATTTACATCTGCAGGACAATATCATTTATAAAGCCAGCTGGCAAAGTGTGGGTTAAATGTACAGTGGGGTGGATTGAAAACTGAAAGAACAGTTGGGTCTGGAGGGTGGTGGTCAGTGATGCACAGCCTGACCAGAGGCCAGTCAGCAGTGATATTTAAAATCTTAATGAATGATCTAGACAATGGAACAGAGTGCTCTCTCAGCATGTTCACAGATGGTAGAAAGTGGAGACAAGTGACTGATGCAATGGATAGTTGTGCTGCCATTAACACAAACTTGGTCAGCTGGAGAAATGAGCAGAGAGCAGTCTCATGAAGTTCAGTCAGAGGAAATGCAGAGTCCTGCCCCCGCAGGCACTCCAGGCAGTATTATGTGCTGGTGAACTCTCTGTTGGAAGCCCTGCTGCAGAGAAGGCACTGGGGACCCGTGCAGAGAAGCTGCTGACCATGTGCCAGTGAAATGTGATTGTGACATAGGAGGCCAGGGCTGCATTAGAAGGAGACTTGCCAGCAGGCAAGGGAGGGAATCCTGCTCCTCAGCGCTACTGAGACATATCTGGGTGCTGGGCACTGTTCTGTGGTCCCCAGCACAGGCACACTGGTTCAAGTGCAGCATAGGGCCAGAAAGGCCTGTAGCAAGGACAGGCTGAGAGGTAGGGCTGGTGAGTCTGGAGGAGACTTCTGTGTGTATAAATAGCTGGTGGAAGGGAGTGAAGAAAAGGGAGCCAGACCCATCTTGGTAGTGCCCATTGACTGTACACAGTCCAAATGCTGTGAACATGAGATAATTATTTTTTTTCCTGTGAGGATAGTCGTGGTAGGACTCAGGCTCTGTGGGGCCATGCAGAACCCAGGCAGATGCGATGCTGGGCAGCTGGCTGCTGGGGACTCTGCCTGAGCAGGAGACTCAGCCTGAGCAGGAGATGCTGACCTGATCACCTCCAGAGTGAGGTTCCTCCATCACCAGTGCCTGCAACCTCAGCCTTTCTCTGAAAATGCTAGCTAACAATTAGCAAGCGTATTTTCTCTTGACAAGTTCTGCTGGATGCTCATTTCTGGCCTCTAAGATATGTGAATGTCTTCTCAAGTGTGGCTCAGACCCTGATCATTTTTTTTCAAACTGTAGTTGGAAGAATTATTTTTATGTCCTACATCTTAAATGGGTTTACATTTTGCAGTCATAAGTCGATCTACAAATAATAAAAAACAGGAAAGTTTTCATTTATGTCTGCTAGAATTTACTAGAATGTAAATGTACAGATGACCATCCTTCTTTTGAGTATGTGTGATAATGGTTATTTCCTTTTTATCATTTGATTTTAACACGTCTAATTTAGAAAGATCGGTATGATAGTTATCCCAGATTTTGCAAACTGTTACAATAGAAGTCTGGATTGTTTACTTATATGCTTACAGTTGTATACTGGCTTGTTTCTTTTTACAGATTCTGTACCAAAGCAGAGGACTGATATTTGGATTTTCCCCCTCTTGTGCTGTTGCTGTATTTTTGTTGTGTTTTTTTTTTTTTTTTTTAACTGGCTTCTTTTTAGAATATGATTCACTTCAGCACTGCCTAAGGAATGGCTTTCAAATTAAATTCTGTGTTGTTGAAGATAACCAAATAGCACTCAAAGTGCATCCTAACGTTAAAAAAAACCTCTGGTATGTTTTTATGATATGTGTAAAGCTAGTTGAAAACGCTGTTCCTCTTAATTTTTATTGTAGCATGTCTAACACAGTCCCATTCCTCTACTGAGAAGCATTATGATCAGGTTTGAGTAAAACCTGCTAGTAGTGAGATGTAAGTTAAAGAATGAGCTTCCATTATAATGTTCTTCAGCTCAGGAGTGATTTTTTTCCCATGGAATTGCTGAAATGGCTCTGATTTATTTTCGGTCCAGATATCTAGGTAGCTAACCATGGTACATCAGCTAAATTTACTTGTAATGCTGTTGCTGTCTTTGTGTGTTTGGAAAGGCCTAGTTGTGGGAACTGCTGTAAAGCTGCTTAGAGCAGAACTGAGCCTGTATCCAACAAGATCACCTCTTCTGCAGGTTTTTGTCATTGCTGAATTAAAAGTGTCAGTCCATTCTCATACAAAGGCATCTGAGCACACAGATTAGCAAGGATTTATCTTTTGTATCTTTAACATGAAAGAGCTAGTACTTGTTTTGTAGAACCGAGAACTGCTTAAAATGTAAACATGTTGACATTAATCTGTTACTTGTTTCCAAACTACTGTTCTGATATATAGAACTCCTATATGGAAAATTTTGCCTGTATGAATTTAGGAGAGGAAAAGTTCTGACTTGTATTTAAAATCCATATAGTCTCATATAAGCACGGTTTGCAGATTGTAAAGTCTTACACGAAGGTAGGACTTCATTTTATCCAGTGCTTCTGCTAGTTGTTTTTCAGATGCTATTATTCCTGCCCTTGCTGTTTTATAGGACTTTATAAAACTGAGGGTATTGCCTGAGTTATGAATCTAGGTTTTCAGGCTTCAGTAGCCAGGAGGAAAGAAAATCATGAAGCTGAAGCTTAATTGTCTTCGCTGTACTTTAACAAATATTTTTCATTAATTTATGCTGCAGTATAGCTTTGGAAATTCTGTGAAGGATCAGTGTTGTCACGGGATATTGCATCTTCCATTTTCTTAATAATTCAGACGTGTTGAGAGGTGAATTCAGTGAAAGGGTATGGCATACAGTAGATTTCAAAAGTTTTGAAAACTTCTAAGATGCTTTACGATTTTTGACATGCATTTCCCCATTTTACTGGGGTGGTTTTTTTAGGGCATCTGGACAATTCAGATGATACTTTGGAGAACTATAGAAAATTGCTTGCTATAAAGTTCATCCAAGCATTTTAAAGTGGGCTGGAGCATAAATAGAGCTTGTTGGATGGCTCCAGAAAGCAGCTCACTTTTCAGTAGTTGCATGCATTTTATTACTGCACAGTTAATACAGAGTAAGGCAAGAGAGATAATAATGGTGTTCAGAGTAACAGTCTTCTAGATTAAGGTAGGACATGTTTGAGTACTTCAGTGAAATCTGAGCAAGTTTTGGAAATTGCCCAGAAGAGGAGACTCCTATCTTCAGTTTGGGGATGAGATTTACATTGCCATAGATTCCTTGCACTGATTTCTAAATTCTGTTTCCTCTAGTGTTAACTTTGCATTGCTATTTCAGGTTAACCTGTTTGTTCTGCTGTCTGTCATCTGTGTGCTGCTGAACCTGGCTGGATTTATACTGGGATGTCAGGGTGCTCAGTTTGTGTCCAGTCTACCGAGATGTGATCTGGTGAGCAGTGATTTATGCATATTTTGATATATTTATGCATGTTGAGACCACAAAATGTTCTAATGTTGAGATACAAGTAAGGCAATTAAAATGTAGCATGTTGGGATTAAAAAAGTCAGCTTACTCCTTCAGACCTATAGTTAATTCAGTTGTGAACAAACTCGCTGAAATTCACAGCAGTATTTTTATTATCTCTGTCTATAAATACTTACTTTTTGGAGGTCTAGAGTCTTCATAAGTTGTTTATCTCTCACGGGTAAAATCCTTCCAGAAGGTATGTTGTGAATGGTTTTAAAAGAGCATAATTGGCACAGAAATGGTTTTGTTTGACTTGATAGCTGGCCTCTGTCTTAAACGTCTGAAGACACAGCTAATTCTATGCATTGGGTTCCTAAATATATCTTGAAAAAATTCCTCTTGCCAGCAATATGCACTGCCTTTAATGTAAAGACCACTTAAGAATGAGCATAAAGGATTTTTACAGTCATTTGACAAAGACAAATGCGCTAACTCGTTAGCTTATGGGTGGAAGTTTTTCCCCTTTAATCCAGCTGGCTGGGACATGTTCATACCTTGCAGTGAAAGCCTTGAGAGAAAAAAAATAAGGTAGGTTAAGCCATATTGGATTCTCTGAACACTTTTACTGCAGGAAAATCCAGTTTGCGCTATAATGCAAAGATTTTTATCAAATAGGTGATGTAAGAAGCAGAAGAAAGTGAGTGGAAGATGTAGAATCAGTTGGTAATAATGATGATTGTGTTTTGCAGAACTTTTAAGGATTGATGGAAGGATCTTCAACTGCTTATTTTCACTCAGTGCTTCACAGAAGGCTGTCTTTGGTTCCTTAATAAGTCAGCCTAGTGCAGTGAGAGTTCCAGATTGTAAGCACTTGGTACCAATGTATGGAAGCAGCATGGGGAGCTGCTAATGTTATTTGAGACAAGGTGGTTAAATGTTTCAGGAATTTTAGAGTACTCTGTTGCTGGAAGCAGCATAAGGTACAGTTGAAAGATGTTCCTGAAATCATGAATTACTCTGTGTTTTTGCAGGTTGAAAACCTTTCACACTATAACTATGATTTGGCAGCTAATCAAGCAATTATCTCGTGGCAAAGAAACATTAAATTTCTACTTGAAAACTAAGATAATGATATGAATTTGGAAGTTGTAAACAGCAGTGGTATGCAGATATAACTTTTACTGGTTTGTCTGGGTTGAAACTACCGTTTGGATATCATTCCATTTGTAGAGATACAGAATATACCCATGAATGAAAGAAGATGTATCCACTCCAAACACAGCATGGTTTATATGTCAGTCAACAAAAAATTTCCAGACTGCTATGTCTTTGCAAGAGATTGGAAAGTAAAATTGTTCAGTAGTCACTGTAGCATTAGTTGTATTTAAATGTTCTGAGTGTATTAATGTTTTGTTTCAGGTAAGATATGTTTGTAATAGAGCTTTATGATGCATTAATCTTGGGCATGCTGAACTGTACAAATTTGACTTCGTAAGTCTCTATGCCGGTCCAGATATAGTTTAACATGCATGCTCTGTGTTATGCAGCTAAAAGTGTTGTGTAAAACAGCTTATACCTTAAAAAGTGGGTTTATTTGTTTCTTTTAAGGTGGTTGTGGGTGAAACCAAGATTTGTTTCTGCTGTGAAGAATTTAATCCTGCTAAATGCACAGAAAAAGAGAATGTGCTGAAGCTGTACCCAGTGAAGTCATGCGGTGCTGTTCACGTCCTTCTCAAGGTACCCTGTGTTTGCTGATGAAAATGACTGCTTTGATAAAGTTGTGAAATTGTGTCAAACAGTGTTGAAGTGATGATTTTATTGTGAAAAATTCTGTTATCTTGTGGTCTTATGTACTGATAGAAGGTTTGGGGTTTTTTGCTTATCTCTGGGTCTTGAACAGTGCATTCAAGGTGATCCAACATAGAGTTCTTGTTCGTTCTGTGCCTTATGCAATCACAGCTGCATTTTGGTTCAGATGAGACTGCTTGAGTAAAGATGCTTAAGGTTAGGCTTATGATTAGAGGCCTCTGTCATCTCTTTTGGTAGTCTCAGTCCTTCTTAGCTTACAAACTACTAAAATACAACTTCAAGGCTGCATCTTCTTCAGCTATAAAAGAGCTTTAACATTTCTCTAATGGTGATTATCTCACAGTTGCATTTCCCATGGAAAAGCTAAGAGGAAGACTGTCACTCTTGGATGAATAGGTGGCCTACAAGTCACATCTGAGTAAATGAAAGCCTCCTTGATCTCTGTCAGGAAACACTATAGGGTGAAACAAGCTTTTGCAAATTATTACAGTCCTGGAGGTCATGAATGCAGAAGTCTGCATCACATATTTTACTAAGAACTGTCATGGTCATCTTTGTGTTTTCTGTGTTTGTTTTTTCTTTCTTTTGACATTTACAAGTACCTTGATTTAATCTTTTGATTTCCATAATCTTCATGTTCTTCAGAAAGTTATCTTTGCTCTTTGTGCCCTGAATGCTCTCACCACCACAGTTTGCTTGATAGCAGCTGCCCTGCGTTACTTACAGATATTTGCAACAAGAAGATCCTGCATAGTACGTGAGTGCAAGGCACTGCCTGATATAAACAGTCATACTAACATTATTACTAGATTACACAGTTCAGTAATTTGTTAGATCTCAGTTGGAAGCTTTGTTAACAGAGTTGCATTTGATTAGGATGAATCTCAGATTTCTACAGAAGAAATTGAAGAACAAGGTCGCATTTCAGACCCTGAAGATTTTGTCCCACCTGTGCCACCTCCATCATATTTTGCAACATTTTATTCATTTACTCCACGAATGAGTCGCAGGTAAAGCCTCAGATGCTCTTTCCTTCCTACTTGGATGTGCTAGCTTCTGTATTTCTTGAAATTCAGTGGGGGCTTGTGGGTTTTGTTACTCTTCATTTTGCAGTAGTTACATGCTTTTCATAGTAACTGTTGGGCTGGCTTTGTTTATTAGTTTATTATCCAAGTGGGGCTGAATATTCATAGGCAGAGATAGAATGATGCTCAAGCAAACTGAATCACTGGACTCATTAAAACTCTCACATTTTGCCGTGTGCAGGAGCATTTTGTTTATTTCATTGCTTCATCAGAAACAGTGCGTGCGACCTCATGGGTCTTGCTGAGGTAGTTACAGTTTCTGTTGCAGGATTACCTAGAAAATGATAAGAAAACAGTTTTACACTGAGAAAGCCATCCAAACCTCACTGAAAACAATTGATAAATGACAGTTGGTTCTAGCACCTAATGTGTTTGCTTGTTTAACAGACTGGTGTATGTAGCCATCTCTGTGGCAGCGGAGGCATCTATTGAAATGTGCTTGTCACAGCTTCCCATCCTGGGGAGGGGCTGTTGTCCTTCTCAGGCACAGCAGCCTTGATGTCGTATCTTTCATGCAGCAGTGTTTGTCTTTTCAGCACAGCAGGAGCCACTGGGCTGTATTTCAGCGTTTTGCAGTCTGGAATAATGCAGCTGCATCACCCTTTACAGCATTAAATCTTGCTGATAACATCCAAGCACAGATGACGGCTTTGTGAAGTGGGGCTGCTTCTGTGAAGGCACTGAGGCCAGTTATGTGGCAGTGCAAAATTCACAGCAGCAGTTCAGCCTTCTTTTCTTCCCTGGCAGGCCAGGCACTGTGTCTCACCCCGACATGGGCTGTGGGATGGCTGAAGAGCAGCCTGGCCTCTTCTTCACCCTGATGCATGTCACCTGCCTTCCTGGGCCAGGCAGCTACAGTGTGAAGCAGGCCAAGAAGTCTACCTCAGTCGAGTTTAAAAATATTTATTATTTGGGGATTGGGCATTTGCTGAAGTGCTAGTGTGTTTGCTCACATGGTGTGTTCTCAGATCTGATGTGCTCTCAGACTGGGCCCGCACCACTTATTTCTCAGTGGCTCTGTGTGGCCTTGCTGTTGAGAGACATTTCTGTGAACCCCGAAACATGTGCTACTGCTGGGTGGAGGTGTGAGGGCAGGAGGTGGCAAAGATAGGCCCTTGCCTGTGCTCAGAGTGCCCTGCGTGGGTGCCCAGGGATAGCCTTTGCTACTCTTTCCCATGCCACTTCCAAACCTCTGTGTCACCATTTCAGCAAGGGTGGCACTTGATGTTTCCTCACACATGCACTTAAATCTTTTGGTTCTGTAGATGTGGAAAGTGGAAATTAGGAGGCAGAGAACAGAGTGCACTTAAGGGAATGCTTTTCTGGCTACATGTTCTCTAATGAGATGTAACACAATAAAATTTTTCTGCAGCATTGATTTTCAAGATCTGACTGAGCTGTGTAGACCAGCTCATGTTTAAAAATGAAATCAGACTAAGGTTCAAGATCTGTTTGGTCATCTGGTGCAGCGGCTGTAAGCTCAGCATGTATGTGGAATAACTGAAAAATATAACACCAGGGGAACATTCATGTCAGCTGCTGGAAAGCTTCAGATGGTTTTGAAGGTTTTTGGGGCAGATGAAGGTGGCTGAAATATTTCTGCCATCTTTTAAATTTAAAAAAAGTAATGGCTGGCTACCAAAATCTTTTTTTATTATTTTATTTTATTTTATTTTTTCCAAATTTTATTCCTTTCTTGTATAAGCAGCCTTCTTTTGGCATTTCCGTTCTCTCTGCCCCTTCCGATCATGGCATGAGTATCCTTCTCATAGCCGTTCTTGTTTGCTTTGTGTCTTGAGAAGCCTTAGGCTCTTGGGGAAGGATTCTCCTTAAAGCACTGTCTCCTAGAACACATCCCACTGATGGCGGGAAGGCAGGAAAAGATCTGGAGAAGGAAATGCATGGTTGCTTGAGGTGCCTGTTTCAGGACCAAGTCAGTACCTAAAAATGCAAGGAAAAGCAGAGACAATCTTAGGCATGCAGATTCAGAGGCTTCTCTGAAGGCTGTGCAGACAGGCTCCCCTTGGCAGTCAGTCCATCTCCAAACTTTCCCAGTGCCAAAAGCAGCATTTGCTAACAAGAGTTTCTCCAGAGGATGCTCTTGAATTCTTCCCCTTGTGAGCTGCCTCCTGAGAGGAAGATGATGCAGAAAAAGGTCTGGGATTTCAGCTGTATTTGAGACCTCTTTACTGAAAATTCAGAAGTAACCTTTACTGTGAGGTTTATTTGCCTTGTGTTACAAATTTGCCTTTGTGAACTGATCGCCTGTAATATCCTCAGCCAAGCATCACTGCAGAAATAGCCTTTAGCCTCTTCCTGTGCAGCTGCATCAGAACATGTAACATGAGACTAGAAGTATCTTGAATTTCAGCTATAATTAGGAATTTAATAGTTCATGACAATCAGAGCTGGGTTACGATGTTTTGAACACCCACCCGTGTTTGGATCTGTGAGGTAAACCTTGGTCTCTGCTAAGCTGCACCTGCAGCAGGCTCGGCCTTGGTTCTGCCTGGGCAGAAATCCTGGTGGCTTCCTGCAGGAGCACTTTCTTGGCAGCCATTTCCTCCTGCCCTGGCAGGTCTGGCGGTTCTGGGGGGTGTTAGGGGCTGCTACTGAGAGCCCAAGCTGGAGCAGGCACAAGGTGCTGGCAGAGCTGCTTCCATGCTAAAGAGGTGCCATGCTGATGGCTCTGTGTTGTATGTTACAGGGTGCTGGGCTCTGATGTGATTCCACTGCCTCACATTTATGGAGCAAGGATTAAAGGCATTGAAGTGTTCTGCCCCCTGGATCCACCTCCTCCTTACGAAGCTGTGGTGAACCAGATTGAATCTGAGCAGGTGTGGTTCAGAGGGGTCTCCAAATGTTATCTGTCTGTCTGCTGTAAGAGTAAGATCAGCTGCTCACCTTGAAAGCTTTCTCCCAGTTGGGCGTCATGGTAGAAAACTATGTGAGCATGGATGTAGGAGCAGGGCACGCAGCAGAATGTTATCCTTGAGGGCTGTTGTGCTGCCTTTCTGCTTTGCTTTTGTTCTGTGACTGTATTCTACCCATTTGGGACTACATCAAAGTCTGCTATATTCAATGATCCCTTCTTGCTGCTGTTCTGAAGAAGATGCTTTTTTTTTCTGCTGAAACTGCTCAGCAGGATGAAATTGGCAGAACTGGATGATAATGATTGATTATAGAAATTCACCAGTTTTACAGTGGAGAGAAACCCAAATAACATAGTCACTGTGCAGTTACATTCACTGCACAGTTCATTCTCTTGGGTGAATGTTGCAGTTCTGGAAAAGTACTGGAAAAAATTGTGCTGGTTTTTGTTCCTGAACTTTTCTGTTTTATTCCAGGAAAGTGGACTGCAAGAGGCAGGTGAGGAATTTGTTGCTGATTCAGCAGAAACCAGTGGCAGGCAGGCCTCTCAAGGTAGGAGCATTTTAAAATTTGCTGTAGAACAGTTCTGCCCAATCAAAATTATTTCATACAGCATATGGCTTTGTAAGCCAGAGATACAGGACTATGATTGGGCAGCAGGAATGGGGATTAATTACTTGAATTACAAAAAAAAGCACATTAACAGCAAACAACGAAAGGAAAGAATATGTAGGTTGCTCTAAGTGTAATGCTTCCTATTTATTTCCATGGAAACTGTAATAGCTAGGAAGAGCACAACAACACTATTTCATTGAGGAAGTTCTCAGCTACAAAATACTGTTCTTCAGCATAGTCGTCACTGTTAGCTGTATGTTTTCACCAGCCCTGAACAAGAGCCTGCATGCTGTGGTAAGGTAAAATTCTGCTCCAGCAGATGTGACCTGTGGTTGCTGTTGCCGCACGTGCCACCCCCTCCTTCACTGTGCTCACATCCACTGGTTGGGCTCTAGAAATGTTCAGTGAATGTCACTGCGTGCCATAGAGGAATTCAGTGCCATCTCTTTGCTTCATCCGCTCTTCCATGTCTGATGTCGTTGTGTCAGAGTGCCCCTCTGCTGCCATCTGTCACAGGGCATCAACATGTAACAGGATATTGGTGGGAAGGCTCAGCCTCTACTGCCGTACCACCATGGCTGCACTACAAGTGGATGCTCCTTTTTTCAGCGTTGTTTCAGAAAACTGTGGAAATTGCTCCAGGCTGTTCTCAGCATGAATTTTCTATTTGTTGCTGTGTGCAATTGCAGTTAAAATATTGCTGGCTCCCAAGTAAACAACAGGCAGCTTTTTCACTCTGTTAAAAATTTATTTTACTTTCCACTTTAACTTGCCATTGCTGTACAGATTGTCTTTGGTGCTACAAATGGCTGTTTATCCAGTTGCACGATGATCACACCACAAGAATATTGAGAAAAAAGGCACTTAAAACTTCTATTTCTCCTGCTGCTGTGTTCTATGGACAATTTCAACCGTTTAGCTTCACACCAAGGCTTTTTTTATAGCTTGCCCAAGAAGTCAGCAAATGTCAAAGAAAAGATTTAGGATTTGTTTTTTGTATTTCCATAAAACTGTACTGTAATTGAACAAGTTTATTTCGACTTTCCCTACACTCCAGCAGTCAAACTAAGACTGCTGAAAACCAACACATGCTTCTGGTATTTCGTCAGTTGTGATGGCCAGAAAGAAATTGAAAAAAGTGGTAGCACAAGTTTTGTTCTGAAGGCCTTCTTGTAAATATAGTGGCAGTTGCTTTCTCCGGGTGCTTAGAAACCAGCGGATATACAGAATGATACAGAATAGCAAACATGAGGCTGCGTGGTTCCTGCTTTGAGTTTTGAGAACAGAACATAGAAAAAACGATAGAAGAGGCAACTTGTTGTAAAGGAGAGTCAGAAAAGATTACAAAAAAAAAAAAAAAAAAGGTGTGATAAGGCATTGCTCGAGGTATTGTTTGTATTTAAAACCTTCCTTCACAGGCTAGCAGATTTGATCACATCGTACTCTCCTTCTCATCCTTTTAGTTTATTTGTCCCTCTTTATGTATTTATTTTTTTAAGTGGCCTGTAAAGTGACTTTTAACTCTCAGCCTGGCTGAGTTCATGTGCAAGCAAGAGAGATAGAATATATTGATAGAAATAATTTTTTGATAGAAATAATAAGCAGTATTTCTTCTGTGTGCCTCAGCTTTGCATGGGCAGTGAATTTAAGAAAAGAAAATACACTGAGCAGTATCTCCCCCTGTATTAATATCAGCGTATACCAGGTCTGTACTGGTTTGTTTTCTTCATTAGCAGCCTGAAGGGTGCTGTGCTCTGGGCCATGGCCAGAACAGCGCTGCCCTGCAGTGAGGAGTCTGGAGCACTGGGATAGCACAGGTGCCCTGGGGCAGGGAGGGGCAGAGCAAGGAGCTGTGCTGCAGTTGGGGCAGAGGAACGCCACCCGCTGTCTCAGCTGATGTCGAGTAACAGTCTATAAATAACAGGTGAAGTTATGGTTTATGCTGGCAGTCTGCTGTGCCAGGCATTTCTGTTGGATGCCACCATTGCGGCTGGTGGGCAAGGTGTAGTTCACACTGGGAGTGAAGGCTGCCTGCAAGCTAAGTGCATCCCAGCTTCAGGAGGGACCCTGTCAAGCCAAATAGGTGTTTCTCAGCCAATTGTAATAGGAAGACACCTCCTGAGGCCTTGGGGTGCTCACCAGCTGCCCTTGGTAATTGCAAACTGGGAATTTTCAATACACACTCAGCTTTACTGCCACTTACTCCTTTTAACACCTGTGAAGTTAATATGGATTTTCATTAAGGTCATGAAATCAATGTATTCTTCTGAATAGTATTAAAAAACACCTCACCAGAACACCAGTGACTAAAGGAGTGTTTCTGGTGAGTGCAGGCAGATGTCGCATACAAGTACTGCTAAGCTTTTGTGTCCAATCATTATAGCTATTTGGGGAGCAAAAAAAAATCAGTAATCTGAAATGATTATGCCCTCAGATCTGCTTTGTTCTAACTACTTTCCTTCACCATTGCTGTTCTTGATTATTCAGGTGAAGAAGTTCCCGAGTCTCCCAGCAGAACGAGCCTTCCACCTTCAGCTGCCAGCCCCACGCCTGCGGAAGTTCACAGGAAAGCCTTCAGTCCCTTACAGAAACGGTCTAGAAGTGACCCTGTGCTACACTGCCAGTTGCCACAAGGTGACTTGACTTTCTCTGTCCATGCTTAGGTAACAAATCCTTAGGCACACATCTGTCAGACTGCGTTAGCACCCTCAACCCACTGCCTACAGATACCAGCTCCTGTCTTCTAGCTGTGCCTACATCACACCAAGCAGGCTGTGCTTTGTCACATGCACTGCTGCCAACATCTCAGTTTTACTTTCTTACTTACTCACTTTACTTACTTACTTTCTCAGTAGGCTTTCAACTCTAGGAACAACATCTGCAGCAGGCAGGTGTCTGTGATCCACTGCAGTTGCTGTGTAAGAGCTGCAAGTGTGGCTGCACAGTTAAAATCCAGGAGTCCAGAGTCTTGCAGTTTTTATTGCAGTGTGTTGGAATCCCTGTAGTAGTTGTTGATGTGTAATGGTGTTCACAAAACAGAAATGGGGGAGTGTTTGTAATTTTCGTTTTGAACGCTGGAGTATTCTTAGTATTTTATGGAACATGTTCATGTCTCCGCTGCATCATCTGTTTTCTCTTTTCCTCCTATCAGCTTCCACCACAGCACCCCAGAGAATCTGCTGCTGAAGCAGTAGTTAAATGACACACTGCGCCTATTCAGAGCAGAGAAAGCAGAGCAGTGTGTTTCTGCTGGAGAGGCAGTCTGTCAGCCAGAAGTGTTTGGGCTGATGTATAAGGTGTTAGGCCTATTCAGATTGGATGGGGAAGCTGAATATGCAGCCACTGCAGAAAGGGAAGTCAGCTGCTTAGCAGCGGAAGCTGCTTGAAGTTAGCTTGTGCTCCTCTTGCTGGAAAATTTTGGATCTGCTCCTGGTGGTGATGTATTTGGAATAATGCGGTCTTTGAAGAGCTATTTGAGCGACTTATGGGTGTTCTTACTGTTTTAACAGGGTCAAAAATCAGTATTATTTAGACCAAAGGTGGATTTTTATTAAAGGCGGTGGAACTGATGCCACAGTGTCCCTTGTTTAGTCCTTGCAAGGTCATTTTGAATGGCTTTTTTAATGAAATTTCTGCTTTGTAGTATTACCAGCTGTCACTTTGGGAAATAATTATTTTTAGGTATTTTGTGAACAGTCATCTGTTAATAGCTGAAAGTTACTAGAAGTCTAGGAAGTAATATAAAAGTAGTAAAGTAAAGTGAAGTAGTAAAAGTAAAGGAAGTAAAATAAAAGTCTAGGAAGGGTCATAAAACTCACAAGCTGTGTTTAACCTGCTTTGCATGTCAACACTAAGACTAAATACTCATCCCATCTCCAATCAGAACAGAAGTAGGAGCTGACCAACACAAAATGGAAAACCAGCAGTCACAGAAGTGTTTGTCCCCATGATACGCACTCAGCCATAGTGCATATGTACTGTTATTTTACAAGTGTTCTCTGTAATGTGAATAAACACAGTAATGAAGAGAGCCTTGAACAATATCCTTACCATGCCAGACTGTTAAGTTTCACCTGGTTAAATTGTGTAGTACCTCATCACTGAATTGGTATGGAAGTGTTACTGGATATTTGTTGAAGAGTATTTGAACCAAGTAAATTGTTTGCTTTGTTGATCTTTGTCTTCAGGCCCAGTGCTCAGCTGTGAGGCTGCGACTCAGACTGAAATAAAACCACAACTCAACACTGTTACATTGCGGAATAGTTTGAGAGCAAGACCTTTGAAGTCAAGACCCCGATCTTTGGTAGACTACAAGTCCTACATAGACACCAAGCTGCTTGTGGCACGGTTTCTGGAGCAATCTTCTTGCAGCATGACCCCTGACATACATGAGTTGGTGGAAAATATCAAATGTGTTTTAAAATCAGATGAGGAACATATGGCAGAAGCTATCACCAGTGCTACCTTCCTTGAGCAGGTAGTTCCATTACTTACATTTGTAGGCTGGCCTTGGTTTGGAAGTATACGTTTGTAACTCTACTTCACATGCCAATGCTTTATTTTAGCTTAATGTAGGGAAAATGTAAGAGACAGAGAGGCTGTGCATGTGGGGTATTCTGGCCTTGTGGTTGATAAAGCAGGGTAGGTTGGAAGACTGCAAAGAGTCATTAACTGTGGGGGAGAAGAGAAGCAACTAGCAGGAACAGAGACTGATAAGAACATTGTTATAGAAGTCCCCTAGAAACAACCTTTTGGAATTTGTTCCCAGAATAAATATAAGACTTGAATAAGACACAGTAGCAAGGGAAAAAAGAAAGCAGAAGGTAGAAAAGGTGTGCTTACATCAATGGAATGAATGTCCAGTTGCTTTAGACATTGCAACCTTTATCAAACATGTTTTGGCTGATTTATAAAGCATTTGAAAATCAGTTGATTTAAATGGGGTGGGAATGATCTGCTGTGAGAGTTGGCTTTGGTTTAAATTATCATGCAAAACATGTTAAAAAATTAATTTAGGCTGTGGAAGTAGCAGGATTTCTAACTGCAGAGAACACAACAAATTTTGACAAAAACTGCTGAAAGATACTTACGGAAATTTTATTTTTCACACTGGTCTGCAGCTTGTTGAGTGGCTTCTGCAGAACTAAGACTAATTCCTTTAAATGATACCTGACACAAAATGGTTTGGGGTAACTAACTCTTGTGCAGTTTTCACCAGAAGAAAAAAAAAAAAAAAGAAGCTGAAGAATGACAACACTCACTCCTTTAATCTATGGGACATTTCCCATCATCTCTCTTAGGCAAATACCAGCTTTACTCTGAAATGCTTATTTATTTATTTAGAAAATGAGTAATGCTACAATTAGGTTCTTCCTGGTTGGCTAAGAAATGTTAATGAAACAAGAGGTTGAAAAAAAACCCGTATCTGTGTTTGCTTGTTAAAGGTTATGGCACCTGCCCAGCAAGATGTGGGGCTGAGGGCCCATGTGCTGCCTTTCAGACGGCATCCTGGATTGCTGCACCTGGAGAGCTGTGGTGATCTGAGCACTTTCACAACAGGTGAAGACCAGCTAGCAGAGAGGAGGACCCAGAGAACAGAACATGAGCGGCCTCACAGTCTTATTGGAGTTGTCAGGGAAACTGTGCTTTGAGTTGGTTTCTGTTCTTCAGTAGAGCATTTCTGTCAGGCACGCATGTGGCACAGGAAAATCGTCTCTGACAAGTAGTGGACAAGTGTGTTGCTAATCCATTTTTACATCCTCATATTCAAGACTCCCAGTGGGAAACTCATTCTATAAACCCTCTTAAGTACTCTGCAAGCAGTCCTTCCAATTAGGCTGTTTAGTTGCAACTAGTGTCTTTGTGATTGATACACTGCTGTTCTATTGCACCTCTGTAGGCTACTGCCACTTAGAACAGTTGTTTTGTTTTTGCTCTATTTACAAGAGTTACAGAAGAAGGGCCCTGCCTTGGTTCTTCTGTGCTCAGGCAAGCACAGTTAATTCATGTGTGCACTTTATATCTTGTGGAAGAACATGGCCAGAGTTGAAGCCTGTTTATGTGGTGTATACTACTGTAGTTCTATGGACTTTTAGCTGGCTTGTACCACTTTAACATAAAAAAACACCTCTGCTAGTACCAACTGCCATCCATGCTGGAAGCATTTATACAGCCATCTCAGATTTTCTGCAGATGTGCAGGGGATTACTTGCTTAATATTATTTTGCCAACCCTAACCACTAGGCCATAGTGACCTATGAATTTAGTCTCTAGTTAGTAGACAGATACATATAAGCAATTTGGCTCAAGCTGTTGGCTGCACGTAGTTTGTAAAGCTCTGTTCTGTATGCTGCTAACTGGGAATACGCTGTGTATTTCCCTAGGCTGGGATCAGGCACATAGTTCTGATAGGCAAGGCTAGTTGCAGCCTTCTGTGTCTCGGTAGGATGATTCCTGCTGCTATTTTAATGATAAAGCTTCATTTAACAATTACTAAACAGCTTTCTTACTGAAAACTTAAAGGCTTTACTATGAGTTCTAGGTAGGCTCTTTCAGAAGGGGAAACTGTAGTTTCAACTATGAAAGACAAGTAAAATAAAATGGTCATCTCTGCACTTGACTTGTTGTTTTATTTTGGCCTGGTAGAGGAAATGCACTGTCATATTGGTACATTTTGTTCTCAGAATTAAGAGCAGAACAAGTAAAAGTTGAGTCTTGTGGAAGAAAGAAAACATCACAAGAACGTATTAGTATTTATCTCAGATGTTGTATGTATTTTGCATTACATATAAAACTCCTTTTTTTCTTGAGAAGTGCATCAATTGAATTGCTTCTGTGAAAGCATGAGAGTTAGCCTAAGCCGTTGCTACGTTGTTTGGCTGAGCTGGAATACAGACATATAAAATGAACACCGGGTTTCAATACTACAAATGTCTGGAATGCTGAGGAGTGAAGAGTTCCAGGGGAGCAGTCATGCCAGGTTGGTGGCAGAGAAAACAAAAGTATTCAAAAGCATATGGAGAAAGTAGAAAAGTTCTAGATTGTTTTATGGGTACAGAGGTAGCCACCCTCTTCAAGCAATACCCATAGCTTCCTTCTCCTATGTGCTGCAGTTATTTGCTTGCACTGTGGTCTGTGAACCATCTCTCCTAACTAACTAGCATGCTAACTAACCGTTGAGTTTCTTTTGCTTCCTAGGAATTGCTTCTGCCTTCCCTTAAAAGAAGGTCAGCATGCAGATTCAGGAATAATTGCTGTATACATAATTCTGTCTGTTAAATATTACCTATCATCTTGTTATTTGAGTAGGTCAATCTCATCAACGTCCTAGTCTCCAAATCAGTAGTTTTGCTCACGCGCTGTGGCTATTATATATGTTGTGTGGACGCCAAAGAAATCACTGTTTAACAGCTCTTAGTTTGCTGAACAGTGAGGAAGAAAGTCTACCAGCGGGCATATGTACAATCTGTCTGGCCATTTTATGCAGCACTTGAAGTTATGAAAGAGAATCCTTTATTGTTATCTCTATAAAAAAGGCAATTGGAGCCCTGGAAAGCATCATTTAAAATGCAGCTTCTGAGAACGAATGCAATGAAGAATGAGGGCAGAAATGATTATACTATCTCCTTGAGGATGTGGGAACTCAAGTTTACAGTATCTCACTGGGCGAGGATCAGGATTTAATTCAGATCCCATCCATGCAGACACTACCCCATTTTCATTGTTCAAGCTTTGAAAAGTCTTTCTTAAAACAATTCGATTTGCCCTTCTGCTGTAAAACAAAAAGCATGTTTGGATAAACTTCCTGCTGCACTTTTAGATGAAAGCAAGGATGCAGGAGCTGCATCAGCTCCAGCAGGCACCAGGAGCTGCCTGCAGGTTCCCTACTCAACAGCCATCCAGCTGAGGTCATCTTATGGCCCAGGAACACGTGGAGCACAACACAGCTGTTGTGTGGTAGTTCAAGAGTACTCATGACAACCCACAGTGCACAGAAAATTCTGTGAAGCCTCATCTGAAGCAGTGTTCCTTCATTGGCTTTTGCTGGTTGAATTTCAGATATCACTCCTAACCAGCATTGGGTTATACAAATATTTTTTAAGCTTTTGCAGAGGCACTTTCCTGGGCAGCCTGGTCTACTATCAAATGTGGAGGCTGGCAGCCCTGCCTGTAGGGGGGGAGGCTGGAGCTTGATGATCCTTGAGGTCCTCTTCCAACCCAAGCAAATCTATGATTCGATTACAGTTTTTAGTTTTGCTTATCCAAGTGGTATTAGGCCTTTAAGAATAAATCACGCTGACGACCTGAGCAGGAAAACAGTGGTTTCAGAAATTGTATTAAGCGAAAAGAATATTTAGTAAAATCTTGTTTATGAGCCTCCTTTTCCCCAGATTCAGTTATTCAGGCACTGGGATGGTATTTCTGTGATTGGTATAAAAGGCATCTTGAAATTACCTCCTTTCAGAAGATTCAAACATAGAGCCAACTCATTTGGCAAAGATTCTGATGCAACATTAGGTGAGAAATCATTTTCGTTTAGAAGCACTAGTGTAATTTATTAACTGAAAATAATGCTGCTTTAAAAACAAAATTGACAATATTGGTTCACATCTGCAGAAATACATGTACTACTACTCCAAACTCAGTAACAACAAAGCAGTTTTGTTACTTTCCAAGCACTCATGCACTCAGTACTGGCAAGCCAGCCCCTAAAATTAGTATGAGCAAACTCTCAGCCTTGTCTGAGGTATTTTTGTTTTGTATTTTATTGTTGCAAATCGTACAGACATTAGCGCTCTGTTAAATAAAGGAATGTAGCACAGTACATACATCACAACAGAACAGCTGGCCAGGGCCCCCGAACCCCCACCCCAAATAAAACCACTCCTCTTCCACCCCCCCACCCCCACCCCAAACCAAACCACTGCAGCGTCGTTACAGAGGTCAGAAACCTGTGGCAAAGAAACATCAGAGGAATTACATTCAGTAGATGTGCAGTATCAACATTCCAGGCTCACATAGATCTATATATATATTTATATTTATATAGAGAGATCATTAAATGTTTACAAAGAACAATATTGTTACAAATACAATACTATACTTTTCCCAACGCTTTACAATAATTTCTATTCACCCTCTTTACAGAACAATAATATAACTTCATAGTCTAGGTACTGCGCTAAATATGTACAAGATATCTCAACCACATTGCTATCTTCAGAAATGTATTTTATTTAAAAAAAACAAGGAAAACAAGCAAACTCGGAATCCCCAATTTGAGCCAGGTTCAAAACAAATGTGAGAAACTTGCCAATAAAAAAAATAGAAGGGATATTTCACCCTTAATGTAAACACTGAAGAAAAAGTTAACAAGACTGCACAAAGCAGCGAGAAAGAGAACAAATTCAGGTCTGTCACTGAAGAAGGAATGTAAAGCAGCAGTTTGCTCCATCTTGTCTGTTAATAATTCATGTCACCTGACAAACTGCTGCAATGGCCCAGAGAACTGCCAGCTTTCCACCTGGAGCGTGTTTTTTGAAACCCCTTTCCTCCACATGTAAGACAGGATTGTTAGAAGACAGTTACCAACAGTGTGTGTGAACTACGGACCTGCCAGTTCAGAAACCTCTCTCACACACACACACGGCTACTGTAAGGATGTATTTTTTGCTAGACTCTGATCCCACAAGCATTCAGTTGCTTAATGTTAAGTGCCTGTGTACTGTGTGCCATGAAAGCACTTGAGTGCCAAGAACTTGGCAGAATTTTGGATGCAGGATTTTCAATAAACAGTTGTTTCATCGCTCCGTACTTTCAGGTCTTCAGCATTCTGCAGTGAAGTCAGGTAAGGACCCCACCACGTGAGTGGTACAGAAGCACAGAAACGAGTGAAGCTGAGTGTGAGCACAGCAGGACGCAGAAGCACGGTAACTGTGTCTTTGAGAGTTCACTGAGTTACCTCAGGCAACTCATGGAAAGGCTGCGCTGTATATAGTCCTCTGAATTGTACATGGATATATATTGTATTTACATATATTACTATATATATGGAGAGTTCTGAAAAAAATTCAGATGATCACCATAAACCAGACGCTGACAGGTAGACAAGATACACGCCGTCCGTTATCCACTTGCATCAGCCTGGTGGCAGAGGTAAGTGTTAACCTGGAACACTGAGGTGGCGCTCTTGTGCAGTCTGTTATTCCACAGATTGGGATTAAACTATATAACGAGAACTGCAGTAAAAACAAGTCACTCTGCGTTAATCTCAACACTAAAACATATTCACTGACAATACCTGACAGTTTATGCAGCGCTCCATTACCTCCTTTAGGATTTACTGCCCTAAAACTACAAAGTTCTGTTTTCTACCTCTCAGCAGGCCATGGATGTTTGTGATATCTGAAAGCCAAAAATGAGCCTCTGGAGCTCGTGCTCCATGGCTCTCATCAGCGTGCACACCAGCTGTGCCTACGCACACACACACATCCATCCATCTCTGGAGACATTCCAAGCTATCATTACCAGACTGCAAATAATGCTTCTTTTGCACAGTCTACCACACAGTAACTGGGAAACAAGTAACTGTGACCATGAGAACATCTTCGAAACAGAACAGACAGGTCTGTGTGACCTGTTCTTGTTTTCATCCCACTGAGCCTTCCTACCACGCTATGACATAGCAGAAACTGTTTCCATAAAAGAAGACCAGCTTACTAGCTTGGACTAAATGCATGGTACAATTTCAGTGCAAACACCAGTCCTGGTAAATGTAACTACAAACAATGGAGCATTTTCCTCTCACTAGGAAGAAAAGTCACTGCTTTTATTTATTATTATTCCTTAAAGAAAAAAAAAAAAAAGGAAACAACCCAACCCGTTTTCCCCCTTTTATCTCTAGCATGCAAGTTACAGGCCACTCAAATCCTATGTTTCATACATCCCTACAATATATCTTCATACAAGTGCATATAGTACACATATATATCCTAAAGGTGCCATACAAATGGAAAAAAAGTCACAACTTAACTTAAAATAAATATGTTTATCCCCACTTTACCGCTCCGATTATTATCTATGTCATGAACTAAAGAGAAAGTCAATAAAATTAGACAAGTCTTTGGACAAAAATATATGTTAAAATTGGCTCAGAGAACAAAATTACTTAGAATAGTATGCAGATCTCTTATATTCAAACTTCATAAATAGCAAGCACAATTTTAAAAACATCTATATACACCGGCACGCATTGCTGTGTGCACCAAATGCGGAAATAAGAGCCTAGAAAAAGTGTAGCTATTCAGGAAAGCCCCTCACTATTTCTCTTGTAGATATTTAAAGATCCTCCCCACCCTCCCCCCCATCTTTAACATCTAAAACAGGTAAGGGACTATAAAAGACACGTTACATTTAAAAACAAAGCAAAACAAAACAAAGAGTTGGAAAACTGGGGCAGAGAAGGGAGGGCAGTTGTTAAAAAACAAAAAGCTTCCCCCATTACTTGGTGTAAGTAATGGAATTGTAACACGTTTAGGCATCTCAGGAAGAACTTCTTGGAGTCCTACAGTCAGGACAAACTGCTGATGGGGAGTAGTTAAAAAGTGTGTATTTGGACAGTCTATTTTAACACAGCAGCATTTACTCATTCTTCTGGAGGGCAAAATTATCCCAGCATTGTACTTTTCCTACAGATGTAAACCTCTACAGACTTTCAGAAAGCCTATGGGAAAATGGGAAGGAAAGTTCATCACATGCAGGATGTCCAAGAGAACACTTTACTTCCTACATTTCTGCCTGTCTAGTAAAAAACATCTTTCATTCTGCAACATCAAGCTTATTTAATTTGTCAAATTACAATCACAAAAACTCCTAGTTATTAGAATTACTCAAACAAATCTAATCTTTTTTTGTGAATCCTGCAGTGAAGAATGCTGCTGTTATTTTCTTGTTTTG